CATTAGAAGCAGAAAAAATAAATTCTCACAAGATTAATATTTACAGTTTAGAAAAGGCAGAAACTGATGAATAAGATAACATGAAGTAAGACTAGGCTAATTTTTTGTTTTATTTGGCCAACATTACTTAATGGCTTTATTTAATCATGTTTAAAAAACATAAATCTATAGGCCTACAACCCATTTTCCTGTTGACAATAATAACAGAGATGATAAACAAGTGTTATACCAGTAATATTGTTTTATTTAGTTACCATGGCTATAGCTTTATCTTACAGCTTTATTTATTTTTAATGACAAAATGTAGCATTGGGTTAGTTGTGTTTGATTTAATGGCGACACATACAGTATATTTTCTATTATTACTATTTTGTAATATACATAATGGCTGAAATTGAACTGATTTGCAGAGTGTCATTCGGTTACATTGGTTACAATCCTTACCCTAGCCCCAAAGAACCAATTAATATTAATTAACCATATTCCTAACCTAACCCCTTTCCCTAAAGCATAGCTTGTTTGATATTCATGTTCTATGTGAAATAAATATGGACTTGTTGTTTTCGGCTTGGGACTCATAATTATGGTTAAAAAGGGGCCTTTGGACTCGTATAGACAATTTTCAAAATGAATCACTATTATTAAAGTTGTTAATTCAATTTAAATTGAATTAAAGTATTTTATTAACATGTATTTGGATACACGTATAGTACTGTAGCGCATGAGCATGTAATGTAAATATATAAATATATTTAGTTTCTATGCTTTAAACCAGTCATTGCAATGTACGTATATTTCAAATACATTGGTGAAGTCTGCTGTTCAATGAATGCCAGTTAACAGCAGAATGAATCATTTATGGTATACATAGATTTTTAAATTAAAAACTGTATGATATTAAGTATCTTTTTTAATAATTGTAGATCAGTATGATAAATTGAGCTCTTTTGGGATATATATCAGTGGATGCATTGATGGGTAGGTAAACATAAAATGTTGGGAATTTATTAATTACTTTTTACTATATCCCTAGAAATGTAGGCGCATTTGATAGCGTTGACAGATTTAACCCTGTGTTTGAGTCTAGTCTGTCTCTATTGCGGTTACGTTGGGCATGTTACTTTACTAGTGCACTCTCTCCACCCAGAGATTAATATGGTAACAAATCTTACGTCTTCCATTGTAATTTAAGGTTTTCCCGCTTTGTGCTATGGGTGGAAGCTGGTGTCAGCAATAAATACCCCAAAAAGATTGCAGGGTACTTTTAGAAGACTTTGGAGAATGTTAAAGGTACATGTAATTCAGTGCAAAGATTTGGAAGAGTTGGTTTGTTAAATGAATATATTGAAGACAATATCTCATTTGATTTCTGGAGTTTAAGCAAGATGACTTGTTTTCTGTAATATTTTGTTTTTGCCTTTTGCATCTGTTAATGTTGATGTTTATACATATTGTATACTGATTTGTAGGATTTCCACATATTATTCGAGGAGATGCAGGTATTTTTTTTTTATATAAAACAGTGTGAATTTTAAAACTCAAAATGAAGCTGAGAATGCAAACATGAGACTCTGACATGTCAATCTAAGGGTTACGGGAATCAAGTGACTGTCAAGGCCTCTTGTTGTTTATATTTTCTGTTGTCTTTGCTTTGTCAGTTGCTACCGGTTTGTCAGAATATCACACAAATATGTGTGGTTTAAATTCAAAAGTATCAAAAGCTAATGAACCAATCAGATCCATGTTTGAAGCCAAAAGACTAATATCAAGTTCCATTTAAGAACTTTAGTTCAGTACTGCTACATGCAGATTATCAGAGAAGACTTGGAAGAAGTGAAATTTGCCTGGAATAACCACAGAATCAGGAACCAAAATTCAGGTGATATTGTTCCTGGGATACCTGAGCTCCTTTATCATGTTCCTGAAATGTTAGGTCAGTTTACTTGTTTTGATTCTGGAATCATTTACAAAGTGATCAAAATTTGGTTTGAAATACTTTTATAAGAGAAAAAAATTGCAATTATTTACCTATGTCCTATGAAACACATTGTTTAAAAACAACAAGGTCACAAATGATTTAATATATACAAAGTATTTTCCTATGAAAATGTTAGAATTTTTCCAAATGAGTTTTATATTGAAAACTGAAAAACATATTTATTTAATTGTGTATGATGTTTTATTTCATTTTTTTATTTCAGGCAATCCACAGTGCCAAATTTATCTTCATTATATCGATGTCAATGATGAGCTGTTTCATTTTCTGAAATCTCAGTGCTGCTTTCGAAATGACTGGGATGATGACATTAAGGAAGCTTTTGGCATCATCTCAGACTATTGCCAGAAGCCAGAACTATGTATATTGCTCTCAAAGATGTATTGGAACACCAGATATATCATAATTTTTTTTTGCTTTTTTGGGGGTATTTTATATCCTATTCTCATAATTCATGATATATTCTATAAATTCTGGGTTGTTTATGTTTAATTATGAACATATGTTTGTACACATCAAGTACATGTACATCATCAGGAAACATATTATATTGGAATTGTAAAACATGTACAAATGAAAAAAAAATATAAATGCATTGAATTCTAATTTATATTATCCAGTAGTTCTTTAAATGTGTCTTTATATTACTTTGGAGTTTAACCAGTAAATGGAAATTTTAAGAGTCCTGCAACTTACTTATATGCCTCCAAGATAATAATTTCACAACTTGTTGACAATGTGACACTACTGAAGGGTGCTTAAAAATTTATAATGTAAATACTATAAAGTAAAGCATTTCTAATGCTCAACCAAAATTTGAACATCGGACGTCAAGTTGTGAGATACAGAGCACACAATTCTTTGTTATGTAAATAACTCTCGAGTTATGTTTTTGTTTACATTTTGAATTTTCAAGGTTAAGACCTAAAAGGAATCCAACAAATGCTAGAAACTACTTGTTTATGTTTAAAACTAATCAGGAGAAAGAAAAATCAGTTTGTAAAAGATCTCTTTCGCTATTTTGAACAAATGGAAACAAAAACATGACTGGAGCCTTGTTTACATGACAGAAAAATTTGAGATCTGCATCTTGCTCATATCTGTAACTGACCCTCAAAGGTTGAATTATGATTAGAAATGCATTTCAAAGCATTATTAAAAATGAAAGCAGAAATATCAAATTTGACCATAAGCAAGACCATGCCGCTTGACAGTAATGAAGTTAACGTTTAACTTGACTGAATTTCAAACGAACGGGCATTTCAGACTTTTTGGCCAAAAACTCGCGTTCTAACCAAGTACAACATGATAACAGTGAAGCACCATGTATAAGTGATTTGGTTGGTTATTTCAATACATCTACTTAACTTACAAATGCATTAATAAAACTTGCTTTACTGAAGTATGAATTTATAATAGAAAAAAAGCTGTATTTGAGTTTTACTTCCTTCAACCTAGAATAAGCAATATAATAATAATATAAATAGATGTAGGATAAACGATATCTGAAAGTGTTTAATACTTTAATGAATCAGATTCTGAAACTAGGATTAGTGAACTGATACTCTGTAAAGGTCAAAATTTCAGTATAAAAATAAAACAAGAGGTCCATGGGCCTTATAGGTCACCTGAGCATTGTGCAAAAGCTATTTAGTGACTGAATTTGATTCATGTTTTAAGCCAGATTCTATAGCACTCACAAATTTGAAAAAGAACCATTGATCCTTAAAACAATAAATGCATGTCAACTAATCAGTGTATAAGTGCCCCTGACCCTTAGGCCTAAATCCACACATTGCAAACTTTTTTACAAAGGCATCCTTGCTTTTCAAAAATATATGATTAATTCCAAAGAGCAGATTTCAAATAATTCATTCATTTTCACTATACATTGTATAAGTACCCCCCCTCGTCTTTGGTACTCCTGACCCAGGGGCCTTGAAATTCACAATTCTGGAAGATTAGGACCCTTGCTCATCATAACTATATAGATATGTTTACCTGCGTAATACCTAGGAGCAGAAAGGAGAATTTTCAAAGAATTCATGTATTTTCACTATATAATCTATAGAGTCCAACCCTAACACCAGAACCCCTGACCCTGGGGCCATTAAATTCACAATTTTGGTAGAGGCACCCTTGCTCATAATAACTATGCACTTAGTTTATTTATTTAATACCTAGGAACAGAGAAGATTTTCAAATAATTCATGTATTTTCACTACATAATCTATAGAGCCCCGCCATAACCCCTGACACTGGGGCCATTAAATTCCAAATTTTGGTAGAGGCACCTTGATCATTATAACTATGCACTTAGTTGGTTAATTTAATACCCAGAAGCAGAGCAGATTTCTTTGATATTGTTTTTTTTATTTTGCAGATGGTCACCTTTATTTCTCAACATTGAGATGTTCTTCTGGCGTTCTTTACCAACTAGGGCTTTGAGATTAGCAACTTCTGTCTCCTTGCTATGTGCTTTTGAATTCAAATGTTGTGTGAAATTTGATACTTGTAACAAAATGGGCAGAAGTGTCTAGTATTGTAAACACGGTCAGATTTTTTAAATTTTCCAGACTTTGTTGTTTTTGAAGAGATGATTTTCTAATAAAGATTGAGGGATAAGTAATATCTCTGATAATTTCCTCCTCAACAATGTCTATGTCACTATCAGACTCTGAAGAAGATGCATCATTTTCATTGGACTGTTGGTTACATAATGGACCTAATGGTGGAAGGTAAGGGATCTCTTCAGACACGTCACTGTCAGAATTCTCCTTGTCAGATCCTTGTCAATGCCCTTATTTGTTGTAGATGAAATAAGCCAATCATCTTCATAACTCTTTCTTTTAACACCTTTAACACACGTGGAGGATGATATATCCTCATCAGAAGTACTCTCTTCTTCCTATGACTCTGAAGGAATAAACTCGGAATCCAAATCCATTTCATCAATCCAATCATCATCCTCATCACTGCTAAATTTGACATATTCCATGAGGTCTTAGCTAAAGATGGTAGATGAAGTTGGTAATGTAGACTCTGGGGACTGTTCACCAGTAATGGTAGTGTCTTCACATGAAGCTGGAGGGCTTTGTAAATTCAAGGCATGGGGTGGTACCCTCTCCTGTCCTGACTTATCACTTGTGGTAGGAACCTCTTCACATGAATCTGGAGGGCTCTGTAAAATCAAGGTGTGAGGTGGTGCCCTCACTTGTCCTGACTTATCACTTGTGGTAGGCACTTCTTCACATGAAGCTGGAGGGCTCTGTAAACTCAAGGAGTGGGGTGGTGCCCTCACTTGTCCTGACTTATCACTTGTGGTAGGCACCTCTTCACATGAAGCTGGAGGACTCTGTAAAATCAAGGTGTGGGGCGGTGCCCTCTCTTGTCCCGGCTTATCACTTGTGGTAGGCACCTCTTCACATGAAGCTGGAGGGCTCTGTAAACTCAGTGTGTGGGGCGGTGCCCATTCTTGTCCTTGCTTATCACTAGTGGGAGGCATCTCTTCACATGAAGCTGGACCGCTCTGTGTACTCAAGGTGTGGGGTGGTGCCCTCTCCTGTCCCAGCTTATCACTTGTGGTAGGCACCTCTTCACATGAAGCTGGAGGACTCTGTAAAATCAAGATGTGGGATGGTGACTTCTCTTGTCCCGGCTTATCACTTGTGGTAGGCTCCTCTTCATGTGAACCTGGACTGTAAACTCAAGGCATTGGGTGGTACCCTCTTTTGTCCCAGCTTATTACTTGTGGTAGGCACCTCTTCACATGAAGTTTGAGGGCTCTGTAAAAACTCAAAGTGTGGGGTGGTGCCCTCACTTGTCCCGACTTATCAATTTTGGTAGGCACCTCTTCACATGAAGCTTGACCGCTCTGTAAACTCAAGGTGTGGGGTGGTACCCTCTCTTGTCCCGGCTTATCACTTGTGAAAGGCACCTCTTTACATGAAGCTGGACCGCTCTGTGTACTCAAGGTGTGGGGTGGTGCCCTCTCTTGTCCTGACTTATTACTTGTGGTGGGCACATCTTCATGTGAAGCTCAAGGGCTCTGTAAACTCAAGGTGTGGGGTGGTGCCCTCTCTTGTCCTGACTTATCACTTGTGGTGGGCACGTCTTCATGTGAAGCTAAAGGGCTCTTTAAACTTAAGGTGTGGGATGGTACCCTCTTTCACTTTAAGATTCAGTTTCTTTTTGCTAACGTAGCACTGATATGGTTAACTATCAGAAATTAACGGGAAATAGACTTGCAAAAAAGGGATTTTTTTTTTAAAAACTGAGTTTAGTTTTATTACGCTGTTTGAACTTAAATACTTGGGGACAAGTATAGTACAACTCACTCTGTACTGTATTTACTTTGGTTTCATCGATGGACAATCACTTGATAAAGTCATAGTACGTGCACTGAATGTAGGTCCTCAACACATTTCAATATCGCAAGGACATACCCAAGTTGAAATTTAAAAAATAAGTTACCATTTCTTTCTGTATAATTTGTACTTTCTGAACGGAATTTTCAATTCTCTGACATTATACTTAATGTCAGATTTTCTCTTAACAATCTATTGCACCATTTTTGAAATGTTTTCAGTTCTTACCTCGCCAGACATTTCATCATCTTCAAAAAAATATAGTAGATCACTCAAAAAATCATCGATTTAATTATCATGATCTAAGTCTTGGTTGTTCACTTTTTGAAAGTATATCATGATGAGACTCAATCTCATCTGACATGATTTGGTCATTTTGATTTACATTAGACTTGCTATGGTCATTTACTCCAGACGGGTTTTCAAAATTTCCGAAGATCCATATTGCAAACAGCAAACATAGATTAAATTTACATAAAGTACAGGTCTTGGTCACAAACAAGATATTCTTCAGAAAACAAAGAACGTAAAACCTTCGCCATGAACGTACGTTTTTTTTTGCAACATGGAAAAATCTTGCTGGAAATGAGAAAAGGTCTCATGAGCTGAGTAACTGTCATCCATGTGTTCATTCAGGTTTTTCTGCATTCCATTCCTCAGCAAGTACGCAGCAGAGAGAGATAACTAAGACATGTGAGAATTTAGCTACAACAATGATATTAGGACGATTTCAAACATCAAAGAGTCCAAATTCACAGAGCAAAGGCATGAAAGTCATAAAAAATGTTGTTGAGATTTCGTTCAGTCAATTATTGAAAACAAAATTGGCATTTCATTCAACTCCAATTAAGATGATAACATATCCAAAGGAATTGTCTCCCCTGCTCAAATGAGAAAAAGTGCAGAAAAAAAAACAGTAAACAAAATCGAACAAAACAATTGAGAACATTTTCTGGCTTCTGGTCTTTCATACAGCATGTATAACAGGGTAAGAATGCATAAGATACACGTAACAAAAGAATCTGCAGATCAAAATGAGATTTCTAAACTCGAAAAAGAGAATTCCAAGATACTAAAACCTAAAGACCACTATGGAAAATTCAAAAGTTGTGATTTTGCCAAGGATGCTTTTTTTAAATCAGAAATTAAGCAATACCCTGCAGGAAAGCCTATCAACTAGATTGGCACGCAAAAACAACCTGACATATGACAAAGAGCCAAAAAATTCAGGTCAAATGTTAATGCCAAACTGGTATTAACACCAACAAGTTCAATATATCTTTTAGAGTCAGCGGAGATATTACACAATTAGAGTCAGAAGATCCAAAATTAACTTAGGAAAGGGTCGAATAGCTGCTCCATCTATATACGTTAGAAATTAAAAGAAACATAACGTCAACAACCACAATTGTACCTTGGAAAAAGCATCGCTCCAAAGGTTCAAACTACGAACAAAATTGATGGCAAACTCAAAACATTTAAATGCCTGGGGCGGGATTCATTAAGACTTAGATTTTTCTTAAATGTTGAAATCAAGCATTGAAAAAATTCTTAGTTAAGAAGACTGTTTAAGTTTTAATTCAATAAAAAAGCACAGTTCTTATTAAAGTGTTATTTTAGAAAAAAAAAAACATACTTAAGTCAAAGCTTTATGACAGCACTAGCAATTTGCCGTACTTTTTGCAACAACAATTTCTGAAATCAATAATGAATATTTTTTTACGACGAAAATTATAAATTACAGTGGTATGCATTGTAAGATGTCAGATGACAATTTTATAACTGTCATTTTCTTTCATCGTACCAAAGTATTGCATATGTCGATATATAGTACACGCATCGTTATTCTTTACATTTCTATCGTGATCTGTCGTGAGTGCATTCTATGGTATTGTGCGTGTGTCCTGTCGTATCGTTTTTCCGTTTATCAAGTTTTGCTTTTTCTATCGTGTTTTGCGTTTATCGTTATAATTATTTATTAGGTTCTATCGAGTATCGTGTTTGGCGTTTATCGTGTGCCTTCGGAACTCATTGCTTATAATCCTTATATATAAATGAATCACCCTAGGTATCCCGAGTCCGATTTTTGCTTTATTTTTTACGATTTGATCAAAGTGGCGCGGGCAGAGAGGATTGCGATTTCCGATTTGCCGGCTGTAATCTTAACGATTGTGAGGACGCATAGCAGGAAGATGTCGGTAGAAGTAATGCGGAATGGTGTATGAAGGCACCATCACTTGATCGTCAATAGAAAGGGCATCTACGGATTCCTTAGACGATGGAAATCTGGCAGTGGTCGTGAAAGACGCCACCAAAGTAAAGACCCTACACCTGAAATTTATGGACGCTTGGTTGTCGAAAAACAATGAACTTACAACAACTATGCTCAAAATTAAATTTTTAAAGTGTTTCCAGCAATCATGTGAAAAATAACAACTGCTTTAGAATGGAACAGTCCTGTCCAAAACTTGTCAGTTCATCAGTAGCAAGAACAAACTGGCAGGTGTTTTGTACAAGATGATATATTTGAGATTAAGTATAAGATTCCGTTGTCCGTATTTAGATATGGTGTGCTCGGTTGTGACAGGGTAGCAGGTACTTATTTTAAACGTATTTTAAGCTAGGTCAAATAGACTGTTTTTAAATAATTTTTAATAATTTTAAATTAAACAAAAAAATATACTTCAAGCGGTTTTTTTTTCTATTGAAATAATTAAAAAAGTAGTCATGAATATAGAAATCTTCTCCATTTCATACCAAATAAAGGCATCTAGATTGCCTACAATCTTTCAGACCAGAAGTATGTCCATAGGACATGAATCCCTCGCCGAGGATATATTAGAATAACATGAAAGATTTTATGTGTTCAGGTAGGGCTTACACCCAAACTCACTAATTAGCAGCATGTGTTCTTCCCGTTGTTTTTGCGAGTGTATGTGTGGTCGTGCCACTACTGATTATTGTTGAATATTACTGATTTGTAGAAATGCATTTGTTGTTTCCCTTCCCTGCCTATGAGTATAAAGTAGCCAAACTTTGTACTGCTGAGTGTATAGTTTTGATGATCAAAATTTTATGACATCTGGCTTTAAGCGAATCAAATAAAATCGCTGGAAAGATGTTTCATAATGCTCAGGTGACCTATAAGGCCTATGGGCCTCTTGTTTATCAAATGTGGATGTAACTGCTTAGAATGTATGATGAAATTTTCTTTTCATTGGTGTCCTGACATAATGTTCTTACTATCTCTGTTCAGTATTTCAAGATATTCATCGAGTGCCAAATTATTATTTTTACCACCTGAAATATTAATATTCTGTTTGCCTCTAAACGATGTTTTTGGTGATTTTGGATACCATTTCTGGATGGCTAGGATTACTTAAGACAGCATGTAGATCTTTCAACATATCATCTGAATCATCGAAAAACCACTTCTTCACAATATTCTTACAAAATGAATTTATCTACTTTAATTTTTCATCATCCTCATTCCTTTCGATGAATTCTTCTGGGAGTGTAACGTTATTATCAAAATAAAAAAAATGTTGAAATCCATCAAAAATAGCGCACATCATATGGCATCGAAAAATGGTAAAATAGAGTATTTTATAGGCTCTGAAAGAATTCTTCACATTGCTTTTTAAGAACATAATAAGAAATTTTGAAGAAGATATCCCACAGATAACTGCTGGTGAATTGTCAATTTTCAGTCATTAAGAGAAGAGGTCAATTACGCAGTAACCTACGAGATTGGGTCCAGATGCAACTCTAAGATAAGTCTTACAGAAATGAGAAAGGTGAATCATTATTGACTCAGGTCGATGCATTACAGCATGAAAAAAATCAATTCCAATAAAGAAGGACTGAACAACCACCATCAATCTGGTTCAGTAGAGGTACATGTGTCATATCAGGTTGTCCGTTTATCAGGTTTTCCGTGTATCGTTTACTCCGTTAATCAGGTTTTCTTTTCGTTTTGTATAAAAAATCAAATTACAGAATCATTCAGAACAATGGCGCCGTAGTCAAAAGAAGGTAGAATATAAATTGCAGGGTATTAAATGTGTAGCAAAACAAGAACCGGGTCAGCATCGTCGGAAACCCACGGGTGATCTCGTCCTTACTTATCACCCGTGGGCAAACTAGCTACAATATCGCCGTAAAATATGCTACTTTGTTGTTTCTAGTCAACCAATCAGAAAGTTGGAAATCTTCAATTTTGAAAAATATGTTTATTACTGTGCTACTATTATTTATGGTAATTATTTTGACGCTAGTTAAATTGTGCGAAATTTGATTTAAAACAACAAAAGTCAATTTTTACAGGTTTAATACTTACATTAATATCCGTCAGATATTATGAAGGAGTTCCTCTTTCTAACTGCAAAATGCACCTGTGAGTGGATTATGAGTTTTTCATGTTTTGGCAATACCGATCTTGCATACGTTACGTGAACTGTGATTCGTTGTTTCGCATCGCGACTCTGTGATGCGGCCAATCAACTGACCCATGCATATTTAATTACATACGACGGTTTTTCGGCGAGTTTGCCCAGGTGTGTTAAGTAAAACTGAGATCACCCGTGGGTTGCCGACGATGCCGGGTGGAGATTTTGTTTGTATTGAAGTTCAGCATATCATTATATATAGGAATTGAATCATATAAGTAATTTCTGGGACGAATACATTAGTATAGTTCAGTAATTTTCAAAACAAAACAGGTTTACCGTTAAGAATTTTCCGAACAAGCCCTGAGTTTCCTAACCCGGCCATTTTAAACACACTTTGTTTGCA